TTGTATTTTTGTCACATTTTTGCGTTTTAGTCATTTTGAAAAATGTGTTCCATTGTCCCAGCATGTTTTTTCTGATTAGAAGTCCCTGGATATGCTTTTTACCTTGTATGTATTTTCTCCTCCAAAGTATTTGTATTTTAAAATACATTGGTTTCTGCTTGCTCCAGCTCCATGACTGCCGGCCGCCATATTTGTTGACAGTTAATTTGCATATCTTGCTGATTAGCCAATGGGAAGCATAGTGGAGGTATGGTTAATTACCATGTTTGTCTATTATTAGATAGGATGGCTAGAACAATGCATACAGTCAGCCCTCTGCATCTTTGGATTCCCAGCTGTGGATCGGAAATACTGTTTTCAATCCACAGTTGGTTGAATTCACAGATGTGAAACCCAGGGATATGGAGAGCCAACTGTCTATTTACAAAAAATAAATAAACATATAAGTGGACCTGTGTAGTTCAAACCTGTGTTGTTCAAGAATCAACTGTATATTATAAATTGTGTGTGTGTGTGTGTGTGTGTGTGTGTGTGTGTGAGTATGTGTATGTCCAGAGAGAGAGTCATTCAGCATAGAAAGTCTACCACTAAGTAAATGTTTTGTAGCTAAAAACTGTTAAAAACCTACTTGTGTTTGAAGCCAGTGTCAATTAAATTATCTGTCAATTTATGCTGCAGGTTGCCTGTGGTGGATGTCACATGGTAGTGTTTGCCACTCCACGACCTGTTATAGAAAAAATTGAACTTGGGAAAATTCGTGATTCTCGCATACCTGCAGCAGCTTCTCTGTCCATCACCGATCTGACCTCAAGAAACATATTCCATAGAACTTTATCAGCACGTGTGCGCCGAAGAGAGAGGGTATGATTATGGCCTAATCTACATAATAGTATTGTCTATTACTACAAAGAAAACTGGAAGAAAAAGATCCATTTTCTTTTTAAATCTATGAAGGGACTTGCCAGAAACATTTACTAAATAAAATTATTAGAATTGAGGTTTTATAAGCTTTTAAAGGGAACTCATTTAAACTGTTAAACATACAAATTAGAAAATTTAAATTATTTTGAATAGCTTTGGCTAATATCACCTCAGATTGAATGTTGAGAGTTGTTTTCTCAACTGCATGTGAATTGACTTTTACTTTGCTTCTATCTTTTAGTTATACCTCATGAGCAGTGGAAGGTTATATGCTATAAACAATGAAACATGGAAAACAAAGAAATAAGGACTTCAGTTTGAGAAAGGGGATATTTTTTCAATTAAATTGAGAGAGTCTTATTCTGGCCTTTAAAATTATTTCAGTGATACTAAAATTTTTAAAAATATTTTCTTATTGATTTCAGAGAGAAAGCGAGAGGGAGAGAGAGATAGAAACATCAATGGTGAATGAGAATCATTGATCGGCTGCCTCCTGCATGCCCCCTACTTGGGATTGAGTCTAAAACCCTAGCATGTGCCCTGATCGGGAATCGAACCGTGACCTCCTGGTTCATAGGTCTATGCTCAATCACTGACCCACACTGGCCAGGCGAGACATTCCTTTTTTAAAAAATTGGTTTAAGTTGCAAAATGTATTCCTTTTGAGGTAAAAGGTTTAGTTTGACTTTTTTATGGAAGAGTATCTATGGAAAGATTGATATATATCCCATAAGCATTTTGTAGTTGTTGTTTATGTCTCATGAGTAATTTTTTGTTTCTCAAGGAAGGCAGAGAAAACAAATGTATATTTCACCATCATGTGAAAAAGAGGCTTACAAATTGACAATTTAAAGCAACTTTGATACAGAGTTAACAAAACAAAACATTTTGAGCCTTTGGGGATTATATAAAATGAACTAGAGGCCCGGTGTATGAAATTCGTGCAGGGGGGCGGGTTCCCCCTCAGGCCAGCCTGCACCCTCTTCAATCAGGGACCCCTTGAAGGATGTCCTGTGGGATTGGGCCTAAACTGGCAGTCTGACATCCCCTTCACAATCTGGGACCGTTGGCTCCTAACCGCTCGCCTGCTTGCCTGCCTGATTGCCCCTAACCACTTCTGCCTATCAGCCTGATTGCCCCCTAACCACTCCCCTGCTGACCTGATCACCCCAAACTGCCCTCCCCTGCCTGCCATCTTGTGGCAGCCATCTTGTGACGACGTGAGGGCAGCCATCTTGTGGTGGCCCTCTTGTGATGACATCGCATTTGGTGGTCCCTCACTAACCCCCCTCCTGGCCTGGTCACCCCATGCAGCCTGCTTGTTCAGTCGTTTAGTCATCCCTCACTAACCCCCCTGTCAGCCTGGTCGTAAGCAGCCATCTTGTGAGGGTGTGAGGGTTAATTTGCATATTACCTCTTTATTATATAGGATGGTGTGGGATGTTGGTCAACTTTGAATTCTCCCTCAAGTATTTTTATCAACCACAGGGCATTTGATGTCTCTATGAAATGTATAAAACATCTAACAATTTATTTAACTGGTGTTTGTTTTTTTTTAACAAAAGGAGAAATCCTCAGATTCTCTTCAAATGATGCAAGCGCTACCTCCAATTAAAGGGACTCTTGGGTCATCTATTTGTTTTTCCCCAAGTTCAGTTCCTTTCTGCATATTTACAAATAATCTGCCAGAGAAAATGACTGAAAAGGAGGACTCCATAAAGCCCATGGAACCAGGTAATATTTGATATTCTACCTGCTCTGAGAAAAAAATGTAGCTTTTATTCCTGTTGCTTTCATGTTTACCTTAAGATGTTTTCTTCAATTAAACTGTTTTCTTCCTAAAGACTGACATCACTCATTTGAACTCAAATCAAATAGCAAGCAGTGTTTGGCATGCATAGTACTTTAGCTTACATTGTCTCCTTTAAACCCTGAAGCAACTCTGTGAATTAGATAGGAGTTATATTCTTTATTTTTATAGATGGAAAAAAGAAAGGGTTGAAGAGATTGAGTGACTTGTCCAAGATCAGCTTATAAATGAAGTGAATGGGTTTGAATGCAGGTCCTCTGGACCTGTGTGAAGTTCTGCATTTAAGGTAGTATAGCATAGTGGTTAAGAGCTTTGGTTATGGAGTTAAATTGATCTGGGGCCGGATGATAGCTCTGATATTTATTAACTATGTGACTTGTTAATAAATTGAGGCTTGACTTATAAGCCTCAATTTCCCTATCTTTGAAATGAGTTTAATAATACCTATTTTAGAGAGTGATTGTGACAGTTAAGTGTAAGGCGTATAAAATACTTAGCATTTAGTCTAGAAACACCTTAGTAAATATATTCATGGTTATTAATACCTCTACCTCACTACCTGTTAAATATAGCTTTTATGTTTTAAATTGTAATCCCAGCTCTTTAGCTATTACATACCTCTTCTAAATAATTTTGTTTACAGACATTTGTGTATCTTACAAGTATGTATATGTTACTTCAGGGCATGTGCTTGGATGATAGAGGCAGGACAAGAAGCCAAGACCAGGAGATCAGAGTAAATAGTAGGTTTCTAATGAAGAAGATATTTGGGATTAAGGACTATGGCAGAGATAATTTTTAGTACAGTGGGGCCTTGACTTACGAGTTTAATTCGTTCCGTGATGGAGCTCGTAACTCAATTTACTTGTATGTCAAATCAATTTTCACCATTACAATGAATTGAAATGCCATTAATCCGTTCTGGACACCCAAAAAACGAAGTTTTGCAAAATAACTGCAAGCACAAATACGAGCACAACACTGATGCTTCAACTAAGAGCTAACCGCTTAAAGTGAACAAGTGAGACACGTGATGCTCACTTGCACAAGCACAAGTTTCTAGGTGGTTGTACTAGTTATCTGTTGCTACATAACAAATAACTCTGAAACTTATAGGGTTAAAACAACAAATATTTATTATCCCACACAGTTTCTGAGGATTAGGAATCCAGGAGCGGTCTAGCTGAGTAGTTCTGGCTCAGGGCATTTCATGCAGTTGTAGACAAGCTGTCAGTCATCTGAAGGCTGGATTGGGCCTGGCAAATACTTTTCCGTGCTCACTCAGATGGCCATAGTCACGGGGCTTCACTTCCTCAGCACATGGGCTTCTCCCTAGGGATGTTCACAACATGACTTCTCCCAGAACAAGTGATCCAATAAAGAAAGAACATGTGGGACCAAGACACAACATCACAATTATGTCAGCTTTATTTTACTGGCCATACAGATCAATCTCATAAAATGTGTAAAGATACCACACTGAGTTATGCATATCAGGAGGATGTGGGTCATTGGGTCCCTTTTTGCGGACTCACTTCTACAGTGCTTAATATCTGGGTAATACTGATCCCAAAGGAATAGTGTTTTCCTGTTCATATGGATGCAGCATTTGTTATCTCATCAGTGTCAAAATCTTCAAATTTGCAAAAAGAAATTTTAAAACCAATTGTCACTGGAATGAATTCTGTTCAATTCCCTTAACACGTCGTTAAAGGACCTTCCATAAAATTACATCTGCACTTTATATTACAGAATAATTTTGTTTATTATCTAGCTGTCTTTCACTTTTCCTTTGAAATCTGTTTTTCTCTTTTATCTTTTAATCATTCAGATTATTTTCAAGATAAAATGACCAAAGTGAAGGATATAGACAGCTCATCAGTGGATTCAAAAAGCCTTGGAGAAACTACTGATGTGTTAAATATGGTAATGGCTTTCTTATTTATGTATCTAGATATAAGTTTGAATTTCTTAAGGTATTTGTATGTATGTATGTATTTCCTATACTGTTCTGTTATATACATAGAATGCTTTTTGTTTTGGTTTCCTTTTGCTATTTTTAAATCAGGTTTATTGAGGTATAGGTTACATGCAATAAAATTCATTTCAATCCTCACATTATAAGTATTCAATTGTGAGTTTATTACTATCTGAGCTGTTTTGTATTATTTATATAATAGAATGTATAAATATATAATTATATATATATATAGTTTTCATTGTTTTTAGAACATTTATTTGTTATTTATTTCAGACACATATGATGAGCCTAAATTCCAATGAAAAGTCTTTAAAATTATCACCAATACAAAAACAAAAGGTATAATATACAGAGTTATTTTTATTATGGTGGGTAAGAACAGTTTAAATTTTTTTTCTCTGAAAGGTTTCTGGAAAGAACACAAGAAAGGTAAGCATTCGCTTTAGAATTGAAAAGACAGGAATATAATGTAGATCGCCTTAATTTGGGCTTGTTCTGTTGGTGTGTATTTTCTGTAATGCAACAAGATTGACTGCATTTCCAATGCTGAAATTTGCTCTTTGCAGTCGCTTAACAAGTCAGACTAGCCATTATTTCTTGTCATAAAGGCAAAAGAGTATTGTTGTAATTCTTAAGCATTGGAAGAGCCTACTGTTTATCAGCGTGGCTCTCTGACTTTACTTGAGTATTGCTTTGCTATTGCTTTGGATGAGTAACTGTTCTGACCTTACAGAATTATATTGACATCTTTTGTGCGGTTTTGGTGAAAATATTTAATGGCTTTTCAAATGTTTGGAATGGGCTTTAATTTGTCAAGGAATTGGTAGCATAAAAATAAGATTAAACATTTGAAAATTAGTCAGAAACTGTGCATGATTGATAAAAACAGACCTTTAATGAATAGCAAGTGAATAACAAGAGGAAGGAATATTCTGGTTATCACAGCTGTGGAGAGATAAAGGTCTCCCCTAAAATCACTTGCTTTTCCTAGTTTTATGGACCAGTGGGGTGAAAGCATGAGGAGTTTGAGGATTAGAAGAATAAATTGGAGAAAAATAAATTGAAGAAGGCTATAGAAAACATTTCATTTATATTTTTAGTGCCATTTACACATTGTTAAGCTAACAATCATTAAAAGTAACTGAAGTGCAAGAGCATCTTGCTAAATTATAGAAATTTAGTATTAATCTTCATTAGGTTTATCTTTATTTTACTGACAGAGACAAGGTGAATAACAGCATTTTTTTCTATATGGGAGAGCTGTTTTTAATACAGTGGTGGAAGCTCAGTGAATGTTGACTGATTCTGACTTCTGAGCAGACAGCTTTTCTGTGTTTTTCCTTCCTCTTGTCTTAGACTTTGGGCTCTGCCTCTTCTGTGCTGCTTTTTTGCTCTGGGGGAAAAAAGGCATATACGTTTAGGAATCATTTCTGGCACATGGGCCTCTGTCTCTCTCAGGGCTCATGAAAGAATTATGACTTTCTAAAGAATAGGACCTAGAACAAACAGATAAAGAAAGATTTCTTTTTTAATTGATAATGTATTTTATACTTCACATACTCTTTTTAATTAGAAGCCCTATCAGGCTTACTTTGGTAAATAAAAAGAAATTTATTATAGTATTTCTATATATTAATTTTTAATTTGTGCTTTTTAAATAATTTCTTTAGCAAAAAAAATTATGACCTCTTTCTGGGCCTAACACTTACCACAATTTATAAAACTTGATTTAGTGAGGTTTTACTACCCAGAGATTCAAGTTAATGAAATATTCAACCTATTAGCTTGCAAATTTAGGTCAACAGTTTGATTTTTGCCTTATTTTGTCCAGCAGGAAATTAATTTCAATTTTTTAAAAAAATACATTTTTATTATTGGTTTCAGAGAGGGAGAGGAGGAAAGAGATAGAAACATCAATGATATGAGAGAATCATTGATTGGCTGCCTCCTGCACGCCCCACACTAAGGATGAAGCCCACAGTCTGGGCACATGCCTGACCAGGAATTGAACCATGACCTCCTGGCTCATAGATCAATGTTCAACTACTGAGCCATGTGGGCTGGGCTTCAATTCTTAATGTATCATTCAAATATCAATGTTTAATTTTATAGTTTTAATTAAAATCTTACATTTTAACCTTAAGTATTTTCCTTGCAGTGTTTTTTTAGGTATGCAAATTATTATAATTAAAGGATATAATAATAGGGTCAAAATTTTGAAAACCCAAGATTTTGTTTTGAAAAGAAAAATATATTCATTATTATGTAGTATGTTGATTTCATTTTCAGTTTTTATCCCAGCTATTTTCTTCTATTTCTTTTTTTTCAATTTTTAGAAATTTTACATTTTCATTTATTTTCTTTAATTTTGTGAAATTTATGGAATTGAAAGACCAATCAAAATTTGATAATTAAAACAATAAGAAAGGTAGAAAAAAATTAAGCTGAACTGCACTGCATGCAAGAGAAGTATAAATTTTATACAATATTTTGCAAAATCAATCTGAAAATGTATTATATTTAAGAATTTATTCAGATTTAGAAAAGGGTCAGAGAATAAATATTGATGGTACTGTAAGTAATGGCAAAATTAAAGCAAGTAGTAAGAATTTGAAAGTTAAATACAGACAAATGTTACTAAATCAAAATTAAATGTACCATAGACTTAGAGAGCAGCATAAATTATACCCAAAGAAAACAAAATCTAGGCAAAATGTTTGGTAAAACTGGACATTTTTGTTCTCTTAGTGAAACTGATAATGTGAAATTTTGGCAGTTTTTGTAGTAAATAAGTTACCTTTGTTAACTAATAGAAGTATGACAATTACTTCAAAAAATTTACAGAAACAAGAGTCAATTGAGAAATTGAAGCAGCATACAGCTCATACTGAAAATGATTATAGCAATGAATATGAAAGTGAAGAGATGTCTCAAAAAATGAAAGAAGGAAAATCATATAAACAAATTTTGGCTAAAGAAACATTCATGGTACCAACAACTGGGAAGCTGGAAGCATGTTCAGATGAGGATGTAGGTCATGACTCAGGACAACCTGGGCCTCAGGCTGATACCAATGAGAAGGGCTTACAAAAAGAGACATCTAGATTTAAAAATAGTATTTATCCACTCGATGATAAGGAAATAGAAAATAAAAGTGATGGAGAAGGCAGTCAGAAAGATTCAGAAGAAAGAGAGATGGCCTCTGAGAAGGAAACTATGCTGGCAGAAATGGCAGGTCTGGAGGATATAAGAAAAAGTGAAGAGAATATAGAAGATATTAACAGATTCCTTGATGAATTGCCAAATAGAGTCACGGATATTGATGAGGATTTTGAAGAAAATTATTTTGTTAAAGAAAGGAAAAGGAACAAGCAAGATGGGATCTTTGACAATGAAAGAGAATCTATAGAGGAGCCATATAGTTACTTGGAAGGTGAAAGTGAAAGTCAGCACAGTACAACTGATGGCTTCGAGTGGCCTGAGTCAGTAGAATGTAGTAGTGGAGAAAAAGATGATGATGAAATGGAAACTGACCAAAACTTATGGTATATCAGAAAATGTATTGAACAAGAGGAAGATACTGAACTCAAAATATCCGAATTCATAGCAAAATATGATTTTAAGTCTGACCGCTTGCCAGAAATTCCAGAGGAAGAGGAAGGAGCAGAGGATTTAGAAGGAAGTGGAATAGAGGAGCAAGAGGTAGAGGAAAATGTGGAGATGCCTGGAGGAAAGGAGGAGGAGGAAGCAAAGAGCCTATCAGATGACCTTACAAACAGAGCAGAGGTGAGTGAGGGCAATGGAAAGTCAGGGGGAGAAGCAGAAGATGTGCATGAAGGTGGATGTGAGGGAATCTGGAAGGAGAGTAATTCACAAGTGGAACAAAGGCAAAGTGAAGAGGGAGAAGAGGAAAAAGACAGAGGAGGAGGAGAAATGGAGAGCCAGGGTAAGGGAGAGAACAATTTAGAAGAGAAGAAACAGGAGCAAAAAGAGAGGGAACAAGGCCATCAGGAGGAAACAAACAAAGGGATAGAGATTGAGGAAGGAGAGGGGGAAGGAGAGGAGGAGGAGGAGGAAGGGGATAAGGAAGGGGGACAAGTGGGACAAGGGGAAGAAGACAGAGAAGAGGAAGAAGGGAAAGAAGAAGAGGAGGAAGGGAGGGAAGAGGAGGAAGTAGAGATG